GATTTGTGGGGTTTAACGTCTCAAAACCACCATATGATTATGAGAGACTCCGTTGTGGAGGACTCCGGTAATTTTGACCACCTGGGGTTCTTTAACGTGCACCCAAATCTGAGCACACGGGCCTACGACATTTCCGCCTCCATCGGAAATGCAGCCGCCGCAGCCGAGATTTGAGCACACGACCTGCGGGTCAGCAGCCGAGTACCTTAGCCACTAGACCACCGCCGCGGGGCCAAACGCTCTAAATAACCGGAGCACCACGCACGTTCCAGTTTTAGCCAAGCGTCGTTCGGTCAACGCAATCGTGACGCTACCACTGCATAAAAGTTGTTTCAAAAGAAACTTACATAAGTATTATCATGTAGCGAGATAGAAAATTCTTTTTTAAGAGAATGTAGAGTCATTTACCGCTTGACGCATGAACATTTTTTCCATTTTTTTGTCACCTGCATTTGCAGTTGCTACTTCAAAGCCTTCAAGGTAGCCCAAACGTGTTTCAAACGCCCTGCCCTGGGGCCGCGCGTTCACCACGTTTCCTTGTTGCAAAACAAATTAAAAAGCTTCTCTGAATAAGAGGAAGAGTGGCTACTATTAAATACTAAATTGTTACCATTGTTACATAAAATCGCTTACTACTGAAAATTCGCGAAGTCCCTTTGAAGGATGTACCACAGAAGCATCCCGAGACGCTCCTTTATGGTCCCAAGTGTCAGCTCTAGATTGTTACGTGGAACTTCATCCCACCTGCGCGAATTCGCAAAAGGGTTGCCTGCGACGAGTTCTCAGACGAGGCACAGATCCTTGTGTGTCCTGAAGTACCGTCGGTGCTTGCGTGTTTGTCGAACAACCACTGCATTTCCCGAGCAGCGTGGACTCGTGGCACAGGAGGCTGGCAGGCTGCCATTTTGGTCGTTTTTCCTCGTATCACGTGATCCTTCGCTCGCTACGACAGTATAGCCCACGCGCAGTGGCGCAAACACCGAGTGGATGAGCGGGAGGCAAAACACGGTCAGCTAGAAGTCCCTATTCCTGGGGTATTACACAAGGAGAAGGGGGGGAGATACATTGTCAGGTCACAAATTTAAAACACGCATCTTGGAGAAATGGAATACCTGCAGCTGGTGACAAACACCTGGCTACACGTGCAGCACGCCTGACAGACGAAATCTGAGCAGAAACTGCTGAAAATCGTGTCACCGTTTCGCGAGGCCACGTCAATGGATGAGGCTATACCGCGCGTGGTGGCTGTGTGGCAGCGCTGCGAATGCGTGGGTTTTGAATCGCACTTAAATAAATATTCGAGATATTCATTCGCTCCTCTGTTGCTTTGTCAGTAGCGAATTGTTACAATGGGTCTGTCTACACGTTGAAGCAGAAAACGTGACATGCGGGTAGTTCATGTCGCTGCACACTAAATTTGAAACTCGGGATGTAGCGTTAATTCGACTGCTTGGTACGCGTGGCTTATTTTAGTGAAGAATCAATCACGTCCGCTTCGTAGAATTATTCTATTTCTAGCGCAAAGAGCGTCCAAGGATCACCAGTGCGTTCCCTACCACGAGACAACGACAGTATTTTGACGGGCTCGGTGAGCTCTTGTTCCACGGCTCAGGAACCTAGTGTCGATGAGTGAGCAACGATGACGTCAACAATTTTTGGTATTGTCATCGCAGTGCTAACGTGCGGTACCGTCTGGTGGGGATGCCTGGCAGCCTAGCAACGGCTCCACTTGTTTTGTTTCGCTTGCTTCCTGCAGCGTGTTCGAGTGAATCCAACGTTTTCGTATTATCCACTTCGGTTGTTTGATATGTGATGTATAACGTTCCAAAAAAAAAAACACAGCCAGATGTATACGACAGACGCCGTAGTTGAGGGCTCCGGAAATTTCAACCGCTTCGGTTGATTTGTCGTGATGTCGTGAGCGCGAATGTGATTATTTAGAGCTGCAGTCGTCGCGAACAAGTAACCCGCGCAGTGGTCGTACATATATGTCTTACTGGCCTGCGTGGCCTAGACATGCCTACAGATCGGGTAATCAGCTGCCTCGCCGCTGCTCAGTCTAGAGTCTATTGCCGAATCACTGCTAAGATGAGGGTCGACCCGAAAATTATTTGCCAGGCCTCAAATCACCGTGGTCACATATTCTAAACTGTTTTCATAGTCGCTTGTGGACGTTGATTACGGTGGCCGAGCAGAGAAAATGTCAATTTGAGGTCGTGTCACCTTTTCGCGTATTCACGTGATCCGATGGGGCGCGAGCTTGTGAAGTGAGCGCTTGGCAGGGCTGGCGCCATCGAAAATTGTGGGCTTCGCACCCGTTTTGTATTGGGTTGTATATCAGTCAAACTAATCATTTTTACACATATTATTCATCCCTTTCTTGCATTATTAGCACCGAGTCGTTACTACAGTATCGACAACTGTACACGTTGAGGCTAAAAACACGACATGCGTCAAGTTGATATCACTGCTCTCTTAAGGTGAATTCACACGAGAGAACGGAGGAAGAATTTTCGCACCGGACGGTTCATCACGTGACGTGCGCGTCATGAAAACGTGCCATCCTCGCTTCATCTGCTCTTCTCCGCTCGCGGCAGGGATGGAAATGAGTCGCCGCTACTTTGATCTCTTCGTTTGACGGTCGTCTGCTCTCGACCGAGAGGATTCGGCGTCAAACCTGTCAACATTGGTCAGATTGGCGTGGCTACGAAGCAGGCTGCCGACTTAAAGTCCACATTTTTTTTTGTTTTGCGCAGCAACTGAATGTGTTTCGTGTGATAGTAATAATAATAATAATAATAATAATAATACGTTTATTGCATCATCATTGTGTACATGATGACAGGGGCCCGCAGTAAAAGCTGCAAAATCCGAGGATCGTTTCAATGAAAACTCCACAAAAAAAACAGCTTGACTGAGCTGCTGACCCCTAACTTGGGGGTCAGGGAGAGTGGAGTAGAAGAGGGAGAGGGAGAGGGAGTGGGAGAGGCGAGTGGTTTTTGGTGGTAGATTGGTGGTTTTCATTCACAGCGTGTGGCCAGCATGACCTCATAAGCGCGCTGCATAAGCATAGGAGTCGAGAGTACGCACAACGATTCTACGATCGTAGCTCCGGCTGTCTGCATGCGACGTGTCCGCTGCTGCACCGGATAAAACTAATCGCGTGACTATTCGGTCCGCGGAGCAGCGGTGTTTTGCCCTCGCGTGTGAATTTAGCTTTAATAGTCAAGTCCCCTGTCAGCAATGCCTAATGCCAACGAAGAGCAGGCTTTATGTTCGAAATTTGTTGCGTGAGGTCATAACGTGGAAAGTTTTTGGTTTTTAGGCCAGCAACTAAATTGTAGGCATTCGACCCGACGTAACTCAACAAAACGCTCGCCAAAGGAAAGGGGTTTGCTCCGTGGAGTGAAGCGTCTTTCGTGCTGTCTATTGGTTGGACGCAAACTGATAAGTAAGAAAGTTTCAAATGTGTGCTTCTTCTTGCCAAAGTAACACACTCGAAGTATACAAAGTTCGCGCGAAGTATACACAGTTTATGCCGGAGAAGCGCAATCCGCTGCGGGGTCCTCATGATGAAGCACTTTGATATAAAGAAAGTAGCGACACTTCCCTCCATATCCTCTCCGAAGTGTACAACCCGCCTCTACCAAGGGTCCAAACTTAATATATGAAGGAATCTGATATAACCTCTCCCAAATTACCACCGTGCAGGTGCCGGCCGTATAACTCGGCTCACGCCACTTTCCTATCATGAAAGCCACGTAACTCTGATAACGCGCGCGATGTTCGTGACCTTTCTCAACGGGTGGCCCGAGAGGCGGGAGAGGAGGTTGTGAGGCGCAGCGGCTTGGTAGAAGATCGACGGTACTTTCCAAAAAAATATCCAGGACCAATACCCCTTCAGCCCTTTGGGTGACACCACGCTGCCGACGTGTTTCCTATTTGCCTGACTCGTGATTGATCAATCCCCTCTTGCTGGATGTGATGTGATGGATGTTATGTGAACCAAGATAGGGTGACGAGAGACGCAGTAGAGAAGAGTTCCGGGAATTCAGTCCACCTGGCGTTCTTTATGTGCACCTACATTAAGCACGTGGGCCTTTAGTATTTTCACCACCGCCGCTGCGATTCGATCCCGCACCCCGCGGGTCAGTAGTCCAGCGTCATAACCACTACACCGCCATGACGGGTTCGCAGGGCAATGTTACTAGCACAGCATTTCATTCGGGACTTCAAGGCGAAGCCGACAGCACCCACGAAAATTCATCTCGAGCGTACGTATCAGTAGAACAAACAAAGAAATGATGTGCAATTTTCAAAAGCAGTTCATGAAGCCACAGGTCAGCCAAAATTATTCTGAATAGGTCTAGTAAAGCGTCTCCTATGATAAATCGTGATGCTGCAAAAGGTAAAGGTTAAAATTTACTCTTGTTGAATAAAACCACGTTTTTGTTGTTTTTTTTTTTTGAGTAAGTATCTGATATACTTGCTTGTTAGTGATTGTGGATGGTAAAATATAATCCGCTCCGCGATCCACCAGTAAAGCATACCATAAGTGTGTCATTTTATTTGTACGTATACCCGGGATTTGAATAATGTTATAATTATCATTCCATTGAATATTTGTCCCATCACAACTGAGGACATCCCTGTCTCCTATGCTTACTTGTCACGAAAGAATAGCTAAACACTCAACAAAGCACATTCGATAACAGCGAAGTTCATAACAGCAGAGGCCGATAAAGACAAATTTGAGGATGCAGTAAATTATTTTTCAACTTTGCAAGAAAAAATTCTCTATATGCAAGAACGTAGCGTGATCAAGTTGTGCTGGTCGTGCGAACCTTCGCTGCCTAACTGTGATCAAGATCGGGCGTTATCTGAGGTGCGTCAATCACTGACAAAGCTCACGCTTACACACCCACCAACGCCCCCATTCCGAGTGCGCATGCTCGCGGCGAGGCCATAAAAAGGGGAGCACTCTTGCATCGAATCACAGTCGGTTATTGGTCCCACCTACGACGCGCCACAGTACGCCATGGCTCGCACCAAGCAGACAGCCCGGAAGTCTACTGGTGGGAAGGCACCCCGCAAGCAGCTCGCAACGAAGGCAGCTCGGAAGTCAGCGCCCGCCACTGGTGGCATTAAGAAACCACATCGCTACAGGCCTGGTAAAGTTCTATTTCATTCCGTTCTAGCTAATAAGGTTGCATTAAGGGCTAGCTTGTCTTGATGCTTTGAGGCACTGCCAGGTAAGACGAGGACCGCAAGAATGAAAAACAGTGCGGGGTGTTTTGTTGTTCTTTCCGGCCCGTACATAACTTAGCAGCGCCTCAAACCATGAGGACTCTGTAGCTGCTACAGTGTAGCTGTGGGGGACGCCCTTGCAAAGAACTGCAACATTACTCGGGGCACTCTCATTCTTTGTACTTGTAAGTGTGCGCTTTCCACTTAATGGCTTTGCTTATTTGGTGGTCCTATTCTACAGGCACTGTGGCACTCCGTGAGATTCGGCGGTACCAGAAGTCCACAGAGATGCTCATCCGCAAGCTGCCATTCCAGCGGCTCGTTCGCGAAATCGCCCAGGACTTCAAAACCGACTTGAGGTTTCAGAGCACCGCCGTGCAGGCTCTACAGGAGGCCGCCGAGGCGTACCTGGTTGGCCTTTTCGAGGACTGCAACTTGTGCGCGATTCACGCCAAGCGCGTCACCATAATGCCCAAGGATGTCCAACTTGCGCGACGCATCCGCGGAGAACGAGCGTAGCCACTTCTTTATATGTGTGGGTGCTCATCATGTACATATTGATTTTAGCTGCTGTCATTGCATCATTCTTGACCGCTTTTTAGCTTCATGCTGTCCAATAAATGTCCTCTCTTGTACTTGACTGCCTCCAGCCTGATTTTTTTTTTTTTTGCCAGTGTGACTGCGTGCTGTTACTTCATCCACCTGCAGTATCCGCCTGCTCTCGCTCGCCGTGTGTCCTTCCTCCTGAGCAGCGTTTCTTGCTTTTTTTTTCTGTCCCCGTTTTTCTATTCTTAGGACCGCATACGTTGGCGCAATCGGTGCAGACAACTTCACCGATAGTGCGGTCACTTGCATCACTACCAGAAGTTGTTGCCCTTCATCGCTCCTTCATGCGCTGTGCAGGCCAACATGAAAGCCTGCAATACCTTCTTCATTAAAAAAAATGCCAGCCACCACTTGCTTATAAGCAAGTGGTGGCTGGCAGAAAACGGCGCATCTTTTGTTGGCCCATACAAACGGGCTAAATTTTAGAAGTTTGTGAGTTCCTTATGGGCTGCCTTGGCGACACGTTTCTGTTTCTTTTTCGATTGAGTTTCGAGGAGTCTTATCTTCATCGCAGGTATCCGCAAAACAACCCATGGCTTTCTGTCAGTTAGCCCTGGTTTTTCAAATGAGATGTGCTTAATTTTCTGGGAAACGGCACAACGTGCCGCAATTTTGCGGCTTTTTCTACCAGTAATGCTATTTTTTTTCTGTGGCGATTGTACGTAAGTAATAATTGTGAGCTAAGGGGAAAGCATCAGACGCCACCCGAAACGTAACCGTAGTTGGTGTCAACATGAATGATGCCTAAAATTGTGTTATAACGTCGTTCAATCCCGTCACAAATTGCCAATACTTGTGGCCATATCATGACGTCATAGTGTGGCATCATAAATACTGCGGGAAGATCGCTTTCGCTTTTCAGTCGCGTTATTGCCAATACTTGTGGCCATATCATGACGTCATAGTATGGCATCATAAATACTGCGGGAAGATTGCTTTCGCTTTTCAGTCGCGTTAGGCAAACGCATGACGGACCGCATTTGGTATGTAGCGTGCATTTATGTATGAATCTAAGATCTTAGGTAAATGCCCAGTAAGAAAAAAAACACGATAATTTCTGACGCGTGAAATGATATTCACATACAGCTCTAGTCACGCCTACTTGACTGTCGTATAGCTGCAAAGGCAAGAGCAATCGTCGTATACCACTTCGAAGGCGTGTTCTCGTATGGTAGGCACTGCTCTTATCGTTCAAACTTCCCATAGTTCAAGCGGCTATATGGTGTGTAGTACTTCTAATTTATTTATCGGACCACTGAAATAAGACTTTTGTTTGTTGAATTCTTTTTTTTTGCTAATTTTGAGCGCCAGCTACTATCTGTATTTAAGCCATGTACGTAAACAGTGCATGCTCCGACCGATGAAGGCACCGGGCATTAGCTGAGTTGAGTAAGTACGCCATCTTGATAATCAAATGTGGAGCCCTTTCAGGACGAAATACCGTTTGTTGGCTATTTAACACAAAATTTTCAGTCCATTGCATTGAAAGGACGAGGAACACAATCACGTGCACACACCCACGCACGGGTACACACGCACACACTGCAAATCATAATAATGGTGAAGTATAGGGACATGTGCGCTCCATTGGCATTCGTCATTGTTCGGCGAAGCGGTGTGCAGGCTTCAAACATGTAAGGAATTACTAGCACTTTGTTGATACTGTTGCTGAAAACAATAAATAATTATGTCTGAATATTTCGAAATGGGTTGGAAGCGTTCAGCAAGCCAATATGTACGCAATTCGCATTGTGCGACGCTAGGTTGTTACTTTACTCTTCTGAAGCGCTTTATTACACACGTGAAGGTGATTCCTCAACTTACAAGAAGCCTGCATAGGGATGGTTTGCAGCGAGGTTTCTATCCCAGGGTTTTCTTTGTGGCAGAATGCTGTGCTGCCCCGTGAAGGGGCATTTGATGAATCTCATTCGAATCTACGTATTTTTTAATTATTTAGTTTTTTATTTCATGCGATAGCGGCTCCGGACACCGGCAACGGCAGAGAAGTGCAGCGCCTAATTGGGCCCTTGTGATGATACAGAAGCTTTCGCCGTAAAGCCATGGTTTTTCTTTCCGCCATACGAATCTGTATTACACAAGGGTAAACTTGTAAGAGAAGTAGTGTAACGTTTTATGTACAGTGATTGATTTGATTGATATGTGGGGTTTAACGTCCCAAAACCACCATTTGATTATGAGAGATGCCGCAGTGGAGGGCTCCGGAAATTTCGATTACCTGGGGTTCTTTAACGTGCACCCAAATCTGAGCACACGGGCCTACAACATTTCCACCCCCATCAGAAATGCAACCGCCGCAGCTGGGATTCGATCCCGCGACCTGCGGGTTAGCAGCCGAGTAGCTTAGCCACCAGACCACCACGGCAGGGCTTATGTACAGTGACATGAGAGAGCTCGCATATTGTCTATAGCTCTTGAATGCACCCATGGCACGTCCACGATTGGTGGTACATCTTTACTTCGAGTAGCAATTTATTCGATCAATATTTAAACAAGCCCTTCTTATAGATGTAATAGTTCACGGTGCGACGACGTGTGGCTAGTAGCAAGTTCCCGGCCGCCCTGCCACTACCTTACCTGGTCTTCAAAGACAACCCCCAGTTTGCGACCATGGCTTCATGGACGGTAGTTGCTTCACAGAGCCGTTCCTACTCCCGAGACCACTTCATGCTTAGAGGGCGCTCTAGATCCCTATTTAGCTCGCACTCCAAAACTATCTCCACCAGCGCTCGTTGCCCACAGAAACCAATGCTTCCTTGGGCCAGTAAGGTCCAGGGCGAGAACGGTGAATTGGCGGAAGGTACTCCTTCCCCTCTAAACAATGGAGTCTGGTAAGTTACGTGGTCGAGTAAGAAAGTTTCGCAAAGAAAACGTGCAGTTATGCAATAAGAACACACAGGTCAAAGAAGCAACAAGAAAGATGGCTAGTGAAATCGCTGAAAAGAAGACAATCATATTTAGAGAGGCTTCTGGTCCTTCCGCGGCCCCAGTAGCCATGGAGGTGCCAGAGGCGTCTATGGGTGGGTCTGGCACCTCGTAATGCCACACCATACAATATAAGCAGGCGGACGAAACGTTCACTGCAGTGCAAAGGGGTACTCGCCACAGTGCAGAGCAGCGTAAGTGAAATAGAAATTGCACCCAATGATCTGCAAAGAGGACTCATCGCAATTGACGAACGTATCGAATGGCTCGAGAGTGTGGGTGGAACAACTCCTTCACCCGTGCCCGGACCAACTCACGAAACGAGGCTACTAAGAACTTCAACCTCCGTCATCACGCACCCTCCCATCAGTGCTGGGGCCATATTACATACTACTCAAACCAGCCAAGTACCAAATAAGCCTGATCTGGGATAGTCGCACCCGGCACTTTAATATATGGCAATAAAACTGTAGGAGCTTTTCAAACAACAGACCCTTCTTACAACAGGATCTTACATCACTCACAAAGAAATTACCCGTCATTACGGGGCAGGAAGCGGCCTCAATCGCCTGTTCGGAACTCGATCGCTATTGTGCAGTATTCGCCCCGCCACCTCTCCCTCCGAGGGCTTAGTAGTTTCGTTCATTGTACAGCAAAAGCTTGAGATACCTATAGAGCAATCTCGGCCAAGCGAATGCAGGTATAGCGTACGTTCTGGTGGACATACTTCTCGATCTACCACGTTGAAGCCTGCGTAGGAACAGTTGACGGCTGCACATGTTCTGGACGTCTACAGCAGTCCACAGACTGTTTCAAGTGACTCCTCAAGAAGACAGTTGATTTAGCTGCTGATTGCCGTCGGGTATACATTATTGCCCCGTTCGAGCTTTTGGTTTATGCATACGGAATCGGAAAGGAGCGCCACCTTTGGAAGAGCAACGCAACACCGAGATTTATCTTACTATCCTTGCTGAGAAGAAGTCATCTAGGATCACAACTCATTGTGCTTGGGTACGAACCGAGACTTCACGTTTGTAAGAAACGTAAACATAGTTCAGTGGGAAACACTTCCCTCAACATTGGCAGTGATTACCACGTTTTAGAAACCCGACTACACATTACCAGCAGAAGAACAAGGGAACTTGCGGCCGCCGACTATGGCGTGCTTCGTGAGCTCAGGGCTAACAGTGATCTTATTTTGGTCCCCTACTTTGAAAGTTCATGTAACAGCTTTCAGGAAGATACCGCATCCACTACGTAGGAAGTTGTAGCTAACCCGGTCGTGAATAAAATTGATTGCAGGCTCACTTGCCTGAGTGAGGGCAAGTAGTCGCTTCTTCGATGCTGGAAGAGCCATAGGCTCAACAGAAGGTTATGTAAAAAAATTTCCTTGTGAATATTATAATCGAGCAACACTGCCGCATTCTATATAAACAACAGTTGGTCACGGTGCGCGAGTTTGTCGAATACCAACTCTTCACAATGCCAAGTGCTGGGGTTGTCTGAAGCATTTCCTGAACAAGAAGAGCACCAGGTATAGTAAGGCACGTTTAACCCGAACCTTGCAAGACGCAATGGGGTTATTTACCGATGAGCAGGACGGGGACGCGCTGATTCCGAAATACCTCCCAGCTGCTGTAGATAAAGACGAAGCCGATCATTAAGACCGGAATTTCTAGAATTCCACCGTATCTTTGTGAAGGTCGATGTCAGGCAGGTCGTTTTCACTGTTATCGGTAAATCAACTCCCGGCCCCTATAGCAACACAAAAAAATATGCTTAAGAACATCTACGATGGGTCAATAAATTACCGGACAGAACCAATGAACAATGTTTGGTGGCAAATACGTGTCTCTCCCCGGCGTAAAATGGCCGGCACTGTCCTCATTCCAAAACCAGGAATAACCCCAGTATGGAATACTTAAGAACGATATCTGTGACGTTCTGCGCCAGTAAAGTTGCAGATTACGCCTCGCTGAATCGACTCACTCGCCTCTTCGAGGCGATCGGAGCATCATCATCACCATAAGTTTGACTACGCTCACAGCAGAACGAAGGTCTGCCCATGTTGCGCCACTCAACTCGGTCCTGAGCTTGCTGCTGCCATTTTATACCCACCAACTTCCTAATCTCATCTGCTCACCTAACTTTTTGTCTCCCCTTCACCCACTTGCCATCTCTTGGAATCCTGTCTGTCATCCATAATGACCAGCGGTTATCTCGCCTTTGTGCTATGTGCCCTAAACCATGGCCGTTTCTTCTTGATTTCAACTTGATGTACAGAGATCTGTACAGCAGCCGGAAAAACCATGATCATAATGTAAGTAGCAGTACCCTAGGTGATATCCAACAGTAATAACAGAAATTAGGAAAGTCCTGGAGAGACAAGGCAAAGAGGCAAAATTTCTGGTAAAGATCAGGTAACATCAAGTGTGCCAATATTGTGAGTGTGCCAGGCGGTGAGAGTTAAAGTTAGACATCTTGGTGAAGCGTTCGTTGCACACGTCGCACTGATATAGCTTTTCGCCTGTGTGGATCATCTTGTGCGACCGGAGCTCACTGTTAGTGTAGAAGCGCTTGTGGCCGAGGTCACGCGCGTGGTCCCGCTGGCCCAAGTGGATCTTCATGTGTGCGTTGAGGTTGGAGACAACCATGAAGCTCTTGTTGCACGTCGGGCACTTGCGATCCCGCTGGCCTGTGTGTGACAGCAAGTGTATCTTGACATGGCTTGAGGAGGCAAACTGCTTCCCACAAATCTGGCACTCGTGCTGCTTCTCACCAGTGTGTGTGCGCATGTGGGCACGCAAGTTGCTGTTGACAGCAATTTCGCGAAAGCAGATCTCGCTCTGGTATGGCTTTTCGCCGGTGTGCACTGCCATGTGTGTCTTGAGCTGTGTACAGGTGATGAATCCTTTGTTGCACACTTGGCAGACGTGCTTGAGTTCGCCAGTGTGGATGCGCCGGTGAGCCTTCAGGTTGCTCGACGCGGTGAATAGACGGAGTACCAATATTGTTATAAAAACTGTCCACACTGCTCGCGAAGTGTATCCTTACGGGGAGGGTACCAGAATCTTCGAAGAATGTTAACATCATCTTAATTTCAAAAGAAAGAAGACGGCAAGGACTTGAAAAATGACAGGCCTACCAGCTTTCTCACCTGCGTATAAAAGCTACTTACAGAGGCAATCGCTAACAGAATTAAGCCAACATTACAATTCAAGTAACCAAAGAATTAACTATGAGGCCACCGATATTACACGACAGGCTACTCAACAATCGACCACAATCATACTATTCATCAGGTGATATAGAAATGCTCCGACTACACCAAACCACTATACATACCCTTTATATATTATGAAAAGGCATTTGACTCACTATAAATATCAGCAGCCATGTGGACACTGCGAAATCAGGATGTCTACGAAGCATGTATAAACAAATGCAGGAAGAAATCTACAGTTAATATACTGCCATGCTCCGTACCGAAAGCGACACAATATCGATAAATGTGTAAGACAAGGGGATACGACATCACCAATGTCATTTCCGACGTTCTTACAGTAGGTTTTCAGACACCTAGAATAGGTAGAGTTAGGAATACGAAATTATTGAAAGTACCTTAGCAACCTGCACTTCGGTGATGACATTGCATTACTGAATAACTCTGGGGACCAAGAGAAATTCATGATTCTGAATAAGATAAAGAGTGCAGAAAGGTATGTCTTTAAATTAGTCTGTAGAAAACGAAAAAAATGTACAACTTCGGAAGAGATCAGCGCTGCGACATAGTTAGCAGTGCACTTGAAGTTGTGAAAATGTACGTCTACTTAGAAAAGGTAGTTACCGTGAAGCCGAACCACGAGACCGAAGTAACTAGAATAAGAATATACTCGAGCACATTCGGCAAGAATTGTCAAATCATGAATGATAGATAGGCACTATACCTCAAAGGGAAGGTACATTACAGCTGCATCTTGCCAGTAATAACCTACGTAGCAGCAACCTGTAGCATTACAAAAAGTGTTCATATCAAGTTGACTGTGGGGTGAGATATAGAATGAAAATTGATAGGTGTAACCTAAGGGACAAGAAGAGAGTAGTGTTGTACATCAGGGACAAACGTGTGTTGAGAATCCGGGCATACGCATAAAGTATTATTAGCCTCCAAGCTGGTTTCTCGACACCACCTTCAAAACCACGTTTTTTGAAGAAAACATTTGGGGGGATTTCATATTTTGGAGTTACCTGTACCTTCAAGAATGGTTAGAGAAAACACGTGTAGCTCTCTTGAGTCACTCAAAAGTTATAACCATTTTTTCAACCGCTGATGAATGCATTCGAACCTAAACGGAATGTTTCTGTTTCCACAACACCTACCATTTTGTCATAATTATTATTCACATAGATAATACGTAATGCTAAGTTATATAAGTCCATTCAAAAGCTTGCGGGATATCATGTTCTCATTTTATTTTAAAAATTTCACTATTCGGTACGAGCACTCCACAAATCAAATTGCGCACGTTTTTGTTCAGCCGTCAGTGTTGTTTTCTATGCCATTTTGAGTTCTTGGATTTAGTTCTATTTTTTTAAGAATAAAGTTATGATATCTCCAGAAACATGACTAAGTATAGGACGAAAAAGAAGCATACCCGTAAGTTAGGGATTCAATAGCCAAGCACGAACCCACTGTGGAGCACATGAATGAGAGTCACCTAAAGACATAAAATGAGCTAGGAAAAAATGCTTGCTTTGTCTCGCTCAAAAAAAAAAAAGCTCGTACCACTTCAAAAAAGGTCCAAACATATGAAGTGTTTATTTGTTCACAAACATTCGGTTCAAATCGTTGAAGCCATTTTTTTTTTTCAAAACGTGATATTTTACATTTTAGTGTTATACGAACAATGATAGCTCTGCTGCTTACCAATCTTTACACATACAATCCTGCGTGCTCTTTCTTTAGAGGTGGAACTGTGAATTCAACCAGGATTAGTCATAACAAGCGGTAACTTTTTTAATATGCCCAACTGCGTGCAGAACAAACTTGCCAAATATCAACTTTTTCCCTCTTTTTCTGGTAACGCGCTTAGGTTTCAAGATATGATGATTGCGGAGGTTGAATGCACAGGGCTTTGTGATAACTACATAGCTGCACAGTCTGCCAAGCCACTTTAGGTCGCACCAAAAGCTTTTAGTTGTCACTGTTGGCGGAACATGTGTATTTTGGCACCTTTGAATTAATTAGATTTATTTTTTTTAATTTCTAGCTATTTCATAATCTTAATCATAAGATGTTCGGAATCCCTATAAGCGGGAACTATACCTGTAACTTTCGGACTAAAACTGCGGATGTTGCCCAGCCGCGGTGGTCTAGTGGCAAAGGTACTCGGCTGCTGACCCGAAGGTCGCGCGATCGAATGCCGGCTGCGGCGGCTGCATTTCCGATGGAGGCGGAAATGTTGTAGGCCCACGTGCTTAGATTTGGGTGCACGTTAAAGAACCCCAGGTGGTCGAACTTTCCGGAGCCCTCCACTGCAGCGTCTCTCAGAATCACATGGTGGTTTAGGAACGTTAAACCCCACATGTCAATGAAATCAAAACTGCGGATGTTTTCTCGAAGATATTGACCTATTTTAAGAACAAGATATTTGGTCACAGTACAGTCGACATGAGAGCTATACCCGGGCTTGACCTATAAAAAGAATTCGATAACTTCTTTCATGAAGTTATCCGCACCTGCATCGCGGGGCTTATCCTCGAGCCCAAGGTCAACAATTTTATTTAATCCTCATTGACTCAATCATCCACGTCCAGATCACCCGCCCTGAATCCTGCGGAACTCCTCAGGGTCAGAGATACCACCCACGTTGTTGAACACTGTCTTGATCTGCCGGTCGAAGAGGCTTTCTCAAGTCGAAGGAATAAAGCATACAGTTTACGCGGACGATATTGAAATTCTGTGCACTGCTGGTAGTGCGGGCTAAGTTGAGTCAATTATGGAAAAGGCTGTCAACGTTATGAAGCAGTTCCTGCTTTCAATGTGCCTGAGATGCTCTGCGGCCAAGTCTGAATGGCTTCTGTGGAAAAAGAGGCTACGGGGAGGTGGATATCGGGTTTGCGAGCCTGCTTTAAAAAGTGGAATTTCTCTCCACACTCGATACAGCTCTGCAGTTCCCAGGTTTGACTCTATCCGCGTACTCAGCATGGTCATCGAATCAAAGGGCGCTGATGGCATGGCACTAAGAGAGATTGTTGCCGAAGCCGACAATGCACCAAGGCTCATTCGAAGACGCCTTTGCCTTATTTTCGCTTAAACAACAGCCATACACAACTGGATGCAAGCTGAACGATGAAACTCAACACACTCTTATGCAAAGTCATCAAGGTGCTTGGTCTCTCCAAATAAAACACACACCAAGGACACCCTAAAGTTGGCAATTCACGACACATTCGAAGTGACTGCCGAGGCTTAGCAGAGAGCATCGGCAGTCTCTTTTGTTTACAGGTAGCTTCTAAGGCTCTCTTGTACATCGGCTGGCAGAAAAATGCTCCCGGAGATTGGATTCAACGCCGTCGCTCACAACCAAGCTGCACTAGATACCCGCCGAAATAAGAAGCAATATTCACGTTGTTCTTATCCCACGCAATGTCCACCTAGTCCACAACGTCAGAAGGTGCAATGCCGGAGTCAACACATACCTGGGAAGCTTGCTCCGAGAAGGCACCGATGGCAGTTTCATCGATGCAGCGGAATAAAAGAACAAGACGCCTTCTCGTGCCATCTAATGAACTGTGCAGCAGTGCGCACCTTCCATCCAAAAGTGAACAAGCAGGTTGCAAATGCCCTTGCCATGCTTCATTATCAAGAAGAGACTGTTGAAATTGACTCAAACAAGTCATTAGGGCCTTCAGAAGTGGGTGTACTAAGGAAAATTTCGCTCTCTCTTGGCATTCGTTCATCACGCAGATCGGGCAAGTAGAGGGAGTTTGCGTGACCACCAATGAGGGGGTGAACGAGGCCGCACGAGCATTGACAGACCACGCAGGTTCCGATGTCGTCCCTTGACCAGGCCACAGACACGCGCCGTGCTCGTATACAGAAACGATTAAACTCTACACCTGATGTGAAATGAACCCTCCTCCTCTTTTTCTCCCTAAACTCCACAGTCACAAAACAGTTCCAAAGCAGTCAGCCTGTGACTCCTCCAAACCAATTCGCATTCAAGTTCTGCGCTTCTTCACGAGATCAACCTGGACGTCTTTCCACAAAGTCTGTGCTTGGCATAAGGCGGGACAACCATACTAGACCATCCTCCGCGCGTGCGGGGCCACGAATTTAAACTTCACTTCGTAGGAGCGGGAGACGCTTCTATGCAGCCCCACTACCTAAGCATCAGCTTAGGGCTTTCCTGCCGGCTTGCGAAGTGGCCGGCAGGCTCGGCTTGCCAGTACTTACATCAAAGTGAGCCGGACGTGCCACGTTGTCGCGTTCCGCAGGAGCCACTAAAGTTAGTTTTCTAAAAATTGTGCACGCGTAAAACACGACATGGTCTAATCCTCCATAACCTTCGTCTATGACCTCTCTCATAACCATACCGTGGTTAGGAACGTCACCCGCCAAAATAATTGCTATGAAGGATATTCGTCGGTCGTACCCAGTATTGACATTTGTGTAGTACATACTGTTTCAGTCAAATTGTAGTCATTTTTCTTGTTATACACTTATGCGTCTTTTTATTTTAAAGGTGCACAGTAGTCTTCTCACAGGCCGCTATAGAAATGAGAAATTAAAATGCCACTGGTAGCACAACTAAATAACCAATACATCCTTGTTCGGTTTCGCCAGGATAAATCAAATAACGTAAGATAAACCCAA